ACAGCAGATTTTTTGTTACCTCTGCTGTTTGATTTTGTGTTGTTAATTTAAGAAAAAATAAAAAACAAAATGTATAGGGATATTTTGCGCCTAGAAATAATTGAAGACGAAGAAAAATGCGCAGGCTAATGTTAAGAAGTTTGCGAGAAGAAATTACCCTTTTAATTTGGAAGATAGCATTTTCATTCACCTTTTTTGTTGTCCTGGCAAATTTTCCATAATTAAGAGCAATTATTTATGTCTACAAAAAGATATAAATAAAACTAATTCTCCGATTTCGTTGTGAATAATTTTAATAAATTCCTTTTTGTGCCGCCCTTCATGTTCTTGAAGCAATTTTTTTGACATTTGTTTTTTTTTTTAATTTTTTTCTCTATTGCGCTTTATTTCAAACTGGCAGTTTTTCGTTTGCTTCACGCTTTTCAATATTTCTGAAAAAAAAAAAATGTTATGTGTGTGTAAAGAAAGACCCAGCTTTTATTTATCTATTTCTTATAGCCTATTTCCACCAAGCACTTAAATGCATTTAAGCCCTCTGTTAAGTAAATGAAATGTCAAACGTTTCCACCGAAAGTGAGTTAACTCAAACAGCTGATTTTTGTTTACATTTGCAGTTTATAAAATTTGCCACAACTATAGAAATCATGAATTCAAGAGACCACATTCATTTTATTTGGCTATGCAGAAATTTTAAGACTTGCAAGTGCAGATTATTTCTGCACGGACAAACGTTGCTGAAACGAAAATGCTTTTATGCATGTTTCCATTTTCATATTTGTTTGTTTGTTTCCTCAAATTATTTGTTTTGCGCAATCAGCTGATAGCTACCAGAGCCACGTATATTTTTATGTTGAGGGGGTCGTTTGATATTTCACAATTGTTTTTTGTTTGTTTCTTATAGTTTTTTTTTTTTTGAAGGCAGAGAAGCATTCTCTTCGCCAAATACTTAATATAGGTATTTATGTTAAAACTAATGCAAAAAAAGGAATTTTTATACAAAAAATTTCACCATGCAAAATAAAAATCTCTTCCCTCATTAAATCCGAAAATACACGACTCTGGCAAGAAGTACACCGAAACTTCCGAAATGATTACATCATTAGTGACAGCATCGAATGTTAACATAACATTTTCTGTTAAATTGCCGAAAGTGAGTTAACTCACTTTGAAAAGTGAGTTAACACACTTTTATACAACAGCAAACACATGGGAATTACCGCATTTAAATGCGATGTTTAAATACATTTAAGCTAAAATTTTTTATTCGATTAAACATCATCTCTACCCTTTCAAAAGTGTAATCTAATAACTATCATCACTGTCATCATAGTTAATTTCAGCGGCTTCTTCAATACACTCTAATATTTCTTGCATTAATTCAACTTTATCTGTAAAAATATTGAATTATTTATTAATTATTAGATATATATACGCATAGGCATATATGTTTGCACGCCTATACAATATGTAAATATTGTAGTAAAAAAACAAATTTCAATTTCAAGACTTACGGCTTTTATTCATTCGAAATTTAAGACAGCTACAATCAGTTCAAAATAAGAAGCAAAATAAAAGGGAATGTCAAATTCTACAGAGGCGAATAGAATCACAAAGCGTGTCGAACGAACAGAGCGACATGGTCTGCTGTCGACTCTGTCGTCGCCCTACCCCTACAAACGATGTATTTACGTTCTCTGCGAGTATTTCGTCGACAAAAAGTGTGTAAACTCGAACTTACCAACTGAAAATTTAATTTAAAATAGTCGAAAAAAATAAGTGCTGCCAAATTTTGTCAAGCAATCTAACCTGTGCGCTAGAATACCAAATTCAATTTCGGGTGTTAAAAGATGTAACAAAATTTATTTTACCGGTAGCCGTGAGAATAGGCCTGTAAATAAGTTGAAAGTCTTGAATGTCTTAAATATTGTATTGTATTTCTGTTTGAAAATACTTGTTTGAAGAGTTACTTGAACAAACTGTCAGTCCGTTAACAAGCACTGCACTTAATGCAACAGTGAGAAACAAATTCGAAAAATACTTTTGAAAGCTTTTGCGACAAGGAGCATTTCGAATATGCGTCCATTCTCTTTTTAACCGTTGTGAAAGTGATTTCATATTAACTTGATATTTAAAAACTCCAAGTTGTATTCATTTTAATATTTCATTTTATTGGAAAATATATTCCTTGGTGAGTACTAAAGATTCTTACTATAAACATTATTTAATAATGTTTCATACGGTAAAACAGTGTTAAGATTGTAAGCCATATAACGGTTCCTAGCGTAAAAATATCTACCAACCAGAGAGGGAACCTGAATTTTTGGTTATATTTCATTGCCAAATTCTTTTAAAATACTTATAACAACGTAATAAAAACTTATATTTATATGAAACATATCGGTAGCTAAAGTAAAATGAATGGATTAACACACATACACACATATATAGATTAAAAAGAGCAGTGCCTAATTTTTTTAGGTTTTGTCGAAACTATTTTTTTTTTTACTTATAATGGAAACTTATTTAATTATGGGCATGGCAAGATATCTTAATCATATTCTATATTGTATGATGTTACGGATAAAGGAAGTTATATGTAGCGAAAATATTTTACGTAATAAAGTTTCACTTTGTTTTTAGCATCCCGTTCCCAAATTTGGCTATTAATTATAAAAAGACAATCTCTTCATCATTGTATTTAATTGTAATGACACCAATTCAAACTGATATACATTTGAGTAAAAAAAATTAAATTGAAAAGCGTTCACTATTAGGGCGAACATTATGAAGAAAAAAATCTCGTTTTATATAGTGCTGTGATGTCTCGAGGGATAAGTAAAAATTTAAAACAAAATTTTCACAAACGCTAAAAATAATTGTGTCTGTTTGTCGTGAAACTTAGCGTTTTATTAAATATTTTTATTATAAAAAAATACCTATTTTTCTTATATATATGAGATCATTGATGAACTTCACCTTCAATGCCTCCTTTTAAGTAACCAGCATTACACTTGATTATATTGTAAGGAAAGATTAGATTTGGTTCATTAAAATATATATATATTCCTGTTTCGTTTTTTTACCTTTGCATATAGAAATGTCGCATTTTGAGTTTTCGTTGGGGCATATCTTAATAGCGTAGTTTCCAATACGTTCTCCATCCATTCCAGTTCTTATTATAGTATCACAAGTCAATAAGCCTGTTATAGCACTAATAATTTTAACGGAATCAGCCGAAAAACATGCCACTCCATTGTCCTTTCTGCTATATGTAAATTGGTAGTAGTAGTTGTTGTTGTTTTAGCGGTTCTCCAAACCAGGTTAGATACAGGCAGTTATTTTCACGAGTTAGGTATGCCGCGGTCGAGCCTTAATAAATATGTATTTTGGCAGTAAGTTTTCTGTAAGGAACATATCATGGAATCCAAGCAGATGCAGGCAATGACCAATTTAAGCTAAATCATTTTTTTTTTTGTCTACTTTTATGTCTGTTGTAGGAGGCGTCTAATTCCTATAGTTAGAGTGACACCCAAATCGTTAGGAAATGTACAATTAATATGGGAAAATGTGAAAGCTGCAGCTTTTATTAAAATACTTGAAAGCAAAAAAAAAGCTATAAACGGATTCAAATGTAATAAACTGCTATTATAAATCTTTCTCAATAAAACTAATCACCACCAAAACCATTTAACTTAAAAATCTCTCTTTCACAAAAAAGAAGGAAAATTTTTTCACTCTTTGAATAATGTCCGGTATAGTACATTAACATCTAAATCGAATTGGTTCTTTTTAAAAGTCTTAATCGATAGATGTATTTACATATTCTGGAACTGCACATTTTCCTAATTATTTTTTGAAACCAAATTTTCCTTATTTCTAAGCTTTGAAAAGAGCTGCACCAGATCATTTTTTTTTTTAAACAAATTTTTTTTTTTTTTCAAAACTTTGGAACACTTTTAAACGTTTAGAATATAAGATAATCGGTAACATGCAAGCATAAATGGGAAAGTTTAAAGAAAAATATGACTAAATTTTGTAAATCGATGCTAACCACTCGGAAACCGCGGCCGCCGAATGTATCCTGTTCCTGTTTCTGAATAGAATAAGGTCTAATAAACTTCCATAACATTCCCCCGATCCAAATAGGGAAATATTTCGCGGTTACAACAAAAACATTAAGGTCCAAGAAGGAAAATGTGCCATCGTTGTCAAGAACCGTATTTTTTTTTGCCTTTTGCGTTTTGTATGTTGATATCTCTTATAATATTTTTAGAAAAATGGCTAAATTTCAAGTAACAAGCTATTAATTCATTGTGATTTTTTTTTTTTTTTTTTTTTGGAAATGTAATTGACAAAAAACGAATGCAATTTAAGAAATTTTGATATTAATATTTCTATTCGACGTTATTGCCTTCTTTACTAGCCTTTAACGATTTAGTTTGGCTAAAGATGCGATGTGAATGGATTAGGGTTTTACAAATTTGGTAAGACGGCTGAAACCTAACTAGATTGTCACGGATATTTATCCGCCCCAACAATTTTATACTAAACGCTCGGAGAATTCTGGTTTGTAAAAAAATTGGTTTTTGCTCCAGTTTTAGTTTTTCCGTCAACGAGATTGGTATATATATTATAATTTATTTATCAGTTTCGTTTATTTTTTATTTATTTATTTAATATTTTTTTTAATTTAAAATGAAAGTTTCTACATTATTTGCCTGTAGTGGAAGAAACAAAATTTAAAATATATGCCTTAAACTAGTTCTAAATAGATTTTATAAAGATGAGCGAAATTTAAGTTGTCAAATTACATAATTTTCATAGAATTTAAAAGTAACAAATTTGTTTGTAATATCACATATTTTAAGGGTTTTATCGAAAATACCGACAAATGTGGCGAAGATTTCTCGAATTTCTGTTGATATTTAACGATTATTAATGTTATAAAAAGTAAAAATTTCCAAAGTATTAATACAATGGCAAATGAAAATGCTGATTTCTTAATTTTATCAAATAAGTTTTTATTTAAACGATTTCTTGAACTTCTTTGGATCAAAATACATTTCAAAAATTTTCTCATACATCATAAATGTATATTTGCATTTACGTACATTTCGTAATTCTAAGAAGGTGTTCTTTCTAATTACAGTGTAAATACCATTAAAAACCTTTATTTGAATTTAAAACTGTATATCATGTACTACTCAACCACCTACATACATATATGCATAGAGAGTGTGGCATATTTTTGTAGTCATTCTACATTTTTTTTGTTCGCAAAAAGATGCTCAAATATCGATGCACATGATAAACCTATACCCTTTTAGTTTATTAAGTTTCTTTGTTCTTTTATTAATAATAGTGTGAACTTTATTTATTATTGTTAATACAATTAAGAAAGTTACAATATAATGGTATTTGTTTTGCGTGAGGGTGATGATGATGATAGTTGTATTTGCTTCACTTAATGAGTTTTAAACATGTGAAGACATCAAATAAAGTATTTTCTATAATTTCTTTATACGAACTACTTAATGAAGTTCGTGGATTGTATCGGTTAATTATATATTTTTTTATATATAAAAACTGCTATAATTTTGCAAAACTCGGAAATAGTTTTGAAAATGTTGGAAAGTGATTTAGACTTACACTTTCGTTTTCATTTTAAAAAAAAAAAACAAATTTTTTAATTTAATCAAACAACAAAAATATACACATTACTTAGCAGTTGAAACTACTAAACTTTTTATATATATACGACAAGGGCTGTTGCATTGGCTATGCTAGTGTGGCTTTAGAAGCTTAAAAGTTATGACCTGAAATCAATTGCTTCCTTTTATTCTTGTTCGTAAATTCTGATGCTGCTATTGGGCGGTTTACTCTTCCTTAGTATTACAGGAAATTTTTTTGTTTCAATGCACCGATTCAATAAAATAATAGTCCTAAGAACAGAAGTAATACAAGTAGCTTGTGATATTTAAACTGGATTTTTTATGTGTCCGCAGTTTCCGTAGTTTTTCTTACTATGTGATTATTAAATTGTATGTAGCTTCAAACTTATTTTAATTCTTGATTTCTCTTTTATTTGCTTCTTTAATTTCATTTCTTCAAATAGTTCGGTTTTTTTTTTTGTTTTGATATATTGTCTGCATCACATATGCAGTACTTTTAAGCCAATGTTGGGAATTGACGTTCGTCATTAACTTTTGGTGCGACATTTTGCTGTCTGAATCCACCGAAGTTACGCTTGCCACCTCGGCCTGGGTTAACACCGCCGCGTCCACCACCAGAAACTGGTGGCCGTTCAGTACCATTATAATTGTTGTTAGTATTAGCGTTGGGTACCGGAGCACCGCCGCCTGGGCGAGGTCCGCGTCCACGCCCGCGTCCACCGAAGCCAGCACCGCGGCGACCGTCATTAAAATTAAATTGTATGTCAAGCACACGTTGTTGACGCCCAACTCTTTGTGGATACATGGCAGGATCGTATTCAAGTTCCTCTTCACTTTCATTTTCCTTTTTCTTGTTATTGTTTAAAACTACCATTTTCTTCCATTGGGTCGTGTCTTCACCTGAAGTGAATTCACAGGGTTAAATACTTTTGCGATTTTTATTTTTTTCTCTGCTTACCTTCGCCAGCTTTACGGATGTTAAATGTTGGCTTAACTCGTTGTTGTTTCTGCGCTTTCCATTCATCCAGCGTTAATTCTTTGGTTTCTTCTTCGATCGGTGACTGTTCGGCTTGTTCATTACCAGATTCTTCAGCCTTATCAGTAACATTTCCAGCTTCTACATCACTCTTATTGACGTCATCAATGGCTTCTTTAACCGATCCCCAATTATGTGCTCCAGCGCCATCACGTTTATCAACAGCTTTCACACCTGCAAATAGTGTTTATTTATCGTGAAACTCAATTTTTTCAATAGATTTTATTAATAAAAACAAGATAATTAGTTTAGAATATTTATGGTTTAGATAAAATAGTATCATATAGCGGTTTTAGTGCAGAATAAAAAATGGCGGACATATTTCTTTAATATTTTCTGTTTAGTATATAGAGGACTTCATAACCTACTTCATGAAATCATTGACGTTTAGCACGTTTTGACATTGTTCGTTCCATTGTTCTTATACATTTGTAAGTGTATATGTTTCATGTGTGCACATTTTTACAACATGCTTTTGGTTAACACTAATACATATGAAATTTATAAATCTATGTATGTATTCGAAATAAAATATTCTAATAAATAATGCTAAGATTTTTCTTACCAGTTTTATCTGATCCTGATTGGCGGTCGAATTCCCGTTTTCCGCCTCGATTACCACCTTCAAAGTTGCGATTGCGAGGGGGTCCACGGTTATCGCGGTCCCGAAATTGGCGTGGCTGCTGCTGGGATCCACCTTCAATTTGTGTGCCAAAATTACCAGAGAATCCATTATCCCGAACGTTACGACGATTGTTACGCTGTTCACGAGTTTCTCCGTTTTGTTGCTTGAAATTTAAGTTTCTCGTGCCTTGTTGCTGTTGCCCACCTTGAACTCCATCATTAGTTGGTCCACCAGTACGCTTGCGATTGGCATTAGGAGCTGATCCACCTTGTTTGCTATTTCTATCTACACCGGTACCTGTCGGTGACTTCTTATTCGATTCATTTTTGTTCAAAGCTGAAGGTTTATTTTCTTTTTCTGCTTGATTGGGTTTTTTATTTGCTTGTGCCCTTGGAGCGCCGTCGACATTTTGTTTATTCGATGACTTTGCAGAGGGTGCACTACCCCCACTGCCACCAGCAGTCTTAACCTGCTTTTTAGATTTGCTTGCAACATTATCTAATGGATCACTAATATCATCGTCCATGAACAAAAGTTCATAACGATTATTTCCAGAGCCATCCATAATTGGCGTTTTTTGTGAAATATGTGTATATTTGCTTATTGCTTTTCTTCGGCTAATTCCTTACAAATTTGAACTAACCTTATTTTCTGCTTACTGCTGCACTATAGTAAAGACTAAGAACACATGCCCAGCATTGAAAAAGCATGGTATACATATAAGAAGAACAAGAGCGCTGAATTTTTTGACAATTGGAAGATTTGTTTAATGTCCAACATACCTTCAACGATGTCAACTGTAGATGGCGCCAAAACTCTTACCAACCTCTATCAGAACATGTTGATGTACCGTTCAGTTTATTACTCAAATTACAAATTTTCCGCTTAGTTTATAAGCTTTTGCCGGTGTATGTATATACCAAAAAAAAATTGTAAGTGCAAAAAATTGGTGGAAATAAAGTTTATGTTTATATAGAACGCCAGTGAGAATTAGTAAAAATGTTTTAATTAGTCATTGTTTTTATTTGTAATTAATAGCAGATATCAACTCAATGTGATATTTGATTATTTCCAATTTTAACATCGCGGCATACACTATTAAAGTCTTATCCAATCGAAATAGGACTTATATAATCGTTCTTAAAACCGTAAAATAATTCACAAAAAATTCGCGATACTGACAGTATTTTGTCAAATTAAAATCCACTTTTTGTTTTGGCTTAGTCTGTGGTGAGAGCAATTATATTCTGTATTCGTTTTATGTATAAGTATGTATTATGTTTGTTTTTGTAAAAAAAAAAGAAATTTTGATGGATGATGAAGTATGCTCAATTTCTATTCAATACTGTACAATCACATGTTTTTACCATGACATTTCACCGCTTGTTTGCTAGAATGCTTGTTTACAAATGCAAAGTAACAAAAAAGATCAAATTGGCATTTCGCGGCTTAAGAAAAATGCGGCTTCGTAATACAATAGCTTCGCTTACTAAAAATGCAGCGTTATCGAGAAAATCGGAAATTAAGAAATGTTTCACACCAGGTTTCTAACCAAACTTTAAATCTATTTTCAGAGAGACCACGGAAAATGTCTGACTGGGGCGAAGAAGTAAGAATTTGTTATTGTTAATAAATTTTACATATATGTATTAATATTTCCTTTTAAATTTAGGATGCCGGCCGTGGGTTTGGTAATGGGAGTACTCAATATAAAGATAGTGAAGATAATGTAGATGATGGTGGAAATGACTATAACGATAATGACGCTGGGGAAGAAAATCGTGGTTTTAGTAGGCGCGGTAGAGGTGGCGGACGAGGTATAATTATTATTTATTTCTGCAACTGAAACGGAATAAATGAAGATTTTGATATTTTAGGCCGTGGTGCTCGAAGTGAGAGACAAAGTGATTATGGTTATGGTCGTAGGAATTATGAAGATAATGAAGATAATGGTGAGTACAATATTTTATTACAAAATTTTTGTATATTAGCAGTTATAATTACGCAGTAATAGGTAATACGTTGTATAATTTACAAACAATAGTATATATTATTAGTTAAATCTTTCTAAATATCAAATCCCTTAGCTTAGTTTTAAGAAGAAGACGAATAAAGAGAAAACCTTAAAAGAGAAATGAGTAATTTGAAGTGATCATGGAATGTATGTGCAGCTGCGGTCTTAATCTTAGTCCCGCGGACACAGTTTAATTTTTTTTTTAAAGTTAGACTTATTAAAAAAAAGTGGAACCACTTGGTTACAAAAAAACAAAAATAATAATACTTTTTCGAAGTAAGTCTAAGCTTTTATGCGGTCAAAATCATAATGGTGTTACACTTTATAGGGTATATTTAAAGCATTTTTTATTTAGGTTGAAAGTTTTTTTTTTTACATTGGCTTTCAATTAACTACCTATTATACATTAATTTAGTATCTAGTAGTATAACCAAATTTATTAATTATGGCAGCACCAGATTTTAGCACTTTCGATTGAAATTTGAGTTCCAAGCAGTTTTTTCAGATTCCCATAACTGCAAATTTTTTGTAGGATAACAGTCAGACACCGATTTCTGTACATCAGCACACAAATGTCAGGAGACTGTGGAGGCCATTCCATGACATTTACTCCAAACCACTCCTTTGCAAGCTTGCTTGTATGCTTCGGATCGTTGTCCTGTTGAAAGGTCTAAATCAGTAGCATTTCTTCGCTAGCATATGGGAGCATAACCTGCATGATTTGGGCGTATTGGGCAGCATTCATGGTCTTCTTGATCCAATGTTGGGGTCCAATTTCATCCCACGAAAAGCATGCCCAAAGCATAATGCTAGATCCACCGTGTTTTACCGTTTTAGTGGATTAGGTTCGCTGTTGGGTGGACCTCTTACAAACTACCTTGAACCTTTTCCACCATAGCGTACAATTTTTGACTCGTCAGGCCACAAAATGTTACACCATTTGGTCAAAAGCCAAGTCAAATGGTCTTTGGCGACACGTAAACGTTTCACCACATGTTGTTTAGTCAGCAAATGCACTTTTCTGGGACTCTGAGCTGACAGATCGTTTTTTATCCGGCCAAGGACTGTCACTCTCGCAACATTTCCCAAAAAGTACTTTGGGGAATATATTTTCGTCTACAATAACAACACACATCGTACACATTAACAATTTTTTATAAAAAATTAGTAAATGTTCTAAAAAAAAAAAATAATTTGACTGAAATTGTTCGTGAAATAGTGTATCAAACTACTCTGCAAGAAGACTTCCGATCATTTGAGCCAACATATGTCAGGAATGCATGACGACATATCCCGTCAGCGTGTAGAACGATTTTCCTTTCTCAAGGCCGAAATGACAAACGTGATGATTACAGTTGTATAAGTGTACGTCATTCTCTCTTTGTTTCCTTGTGCATTTTTGTCATTCTTGTCGTACAAGCCGAACACAGATGAGTGACAGCATTGATGCCGAAGGAAATCAGCTTTGACAAAAATTTTCCCTACATATATACATTCATACAAACATTATTAAGATTCAGTCTTTATTTCAATATTTGACATAAAATATGTGCATTGTTTACATAGCATTCAAAAGAAAAACAATACAATAAATTCGCTACAAAAATCAGCAAAATATTATAAGTAAAACCGCGTATACAGAAGAAGAGTGACGCAGCTCCTAAGCTCTACGAACGCCTCCATCATAATCGCGAATCTCTTGAAGTTTAAAGATGTCTAAGTAAAATAAAAAATGAATATTCGAATCAGAATGTTATTATTATTTAAATGCAGTTGTACCTCGCAAAATTTTGTTGAATATTTTTAAATTTGCTGTTGCTGCAAAGTTAAGTTAATCTGCTCCATTAGCCGAATTTCCCGTAAAATATGCAGAGCCCTTAAATAAACAAATGTAAAAAGCTATGAAAAATGAAGTACTTAATTAATCTAAAATATATGATTACCATAGCTTGTACAGGATCCTGATCGTGTATTTTGCACTTCCATCTACTGCGGAGAAAACGATAAAAATGGCGTTCTACTCGAAAATAAGAACAAAGAAAATCGGATAATCCGTTCAACTTCTTCTTCTCCAATTTGTGTGTGTGAAAGATAAATAAAATGTGCATATGTGTTAGCGCAGCCCGAAATCGTGTGAGTGTATTGGTGAACCCATCAGCCCGTTCTTGCAGGGTAGTTTTCGATTGCTTGGTGTTTTTTTTATCCTCTAAGTTTTTCTGTTTCGCTTCCCAAACTGATTAGGTTGTCAAATACATTGTTTGGACATGATGTGTCGAAAGAAAAACTTTGAATTGAGATGTTAACGCTCTGACCTATATGTTGGTTAAAATATAATCTCATGGGCTTAATCATCCTCGTCACTTATTGTTATATGCGAAACTTCTTCTAATATGTCGGTATCTGTCAATATACCAGATGTATGTACAACGGCTTCATATCCCTCGAAAGTACCTCTCCGAATTACTTGCCCAAAGTAGTATTTTCAATGCACTATTCTCCAAATAATCAATCGCAGTTTTGAATGAACAATGTACAATACTAAGATTTTTCCACGTGGCTAAGAATATTATCTGCCGTGGAATTATTTAGTATTTGCAACCATTCGTTAAATAAATGGTTCTTATTATGCTGATAATGCACTTGAAAGCTACAATGTTGTAAAGCATCGTGGTTTTGCGGACTTGTCGGTTAGCAGGGGTTTACATTTTTCCGCGCCATCTATGTATACTCACTGTTTGTCCCCATGACATTTTTAAATTTTGAGGGTATAGGTTTGATCCGATAACCTAGTTTCGTATGCATTGAATATTTTCTTTGATTCGTAATGCATTATCAGATCGCCCACCTTTCTCTTTCAATCAGAAAATACGCGTTCATTAACCCTGTGTAGGTGTTGAAAACGATCCAGCCCACTATTGCTTACCTTAAAAAGTTCATAGCTTTAGCATAAGAACAAAGTTTTTTCTATTAATAACTCCTCCCGATATTATATAAACCACAAGAATAGAGCATTTTCTGAAACTCACGACAGCCGGTTCTACGCACCGGAGTTGACCCATTCGGCGACCTAACCCCGTTGAGGTCTACAGGTAACCTTAGTCTAAGTCCGTCAACGGAGCAACACCTCGCAGCTGGGTTGCTCCAAATCCTTCTGATCAGGGCTGGTGTAGAAACCAGCCCTGGTCCGACGGATTCCTTCTGCTGCGTGTGTCAAAGAAGACTCCACCACTCATCCACCTCGGTTAGATGCACCCAGTGCAATGGTTGGAGTCATCTTAAGACCTTCTCAGGCCTTAAGACCCACAGGGAATGGACCACGAGTTGTGTGACCCCATGCTGCCAGCGTCCAACCGCCCTCCCAGCCTCCACGGCAGTGCCTTCAGCACACATACCCACTCTGGGTAATCTGCAGACCTCCACGGTCTTACGGAGCTCCCCGCAGCATGATTCCCTCCAACCTCCACCCCCATCCCCACCCACAACCTGCTCCTCATCCAGCAGCTCCTAGTCCTCCGCACCGTCTGTTCCGTGTGTCAGACCATAGTGCGTCGGAACGTGACCTCAGTCAGACGCAACTTCTGCTCTGGCTGGTGTCACTTTCGGACGTGCTCTGGCCTGCGCACCACCCGTGAGTGGAGCGATGCGTACGCTGCCCCATGCTGCCCCGGCATGTCTCTACAAACCCTCCGCCAATCAACACCAATGTGCGGAACCAACTCTCGCGGGTAGTACAGCAGCAACACACACCATCCACGCATCACTCCCTCACCCCCCGAATCATCGACCACGATCTTTGGCATTCTAGCCTGTCAAATGACCGTAGAGGAATGGAGCTGGCGGAACAGATAGCCGATTCGACATTCTGCACAATGAACGACAACACCCCCACCAGAGTTATGGGTAATTGCCAAAGCTCGCCAGACAACAATTGCGAGTGCTGGTTTGATAAACAGTATAGTCTGGCGACCTATACTGACGTTAGCATCGGACCACCGGACATTCGTTAACTTTAAAAAAGCTAACTGGCCCGGATTCACGGAATTTACCGAGAACGCCTTTAGTGCTCTTCCCACTCCAACTGACGTCACCGCTGGTGAACGCTCATTCCGCAGGGTCGTCGTGACCGCTGCAGCCCGCTTCATCCCGGCAGGCCGAATCGCGGAAATTCGCCCAAACTTTCCGACAGAAGCGGCGGTACTAGCAACCAGGCGCGACACCCTCCGAAGCTCCGATCCCGGGAATCCCCTAATCAGGGATTTAAACGCGGAGATTCGAAGAGTTGTTAACAGTCATAAGCGGAAAAAGTGGAAGGAGCACCTAAGGACCTGTGACCCGCCGTATGCGCAAACTGCCAAACACCTGCGCGGTGCTTGATTTCTCCAGGGAGGAGGTTCAGGGGGTCATCGGGAAGGCGAAAGCCTCCAAATCCATCGGCCCCGACGGAATAAGCATGCTGATGCTGAAACATCTTGGACCAGCGGGAGCAGAATTTCTCGCGAGGGTCCTCAATTTGTCTCTGACCACCCTGAAGATACCTGACGTGTGGAAAATGGGTAGGGTGGTCCCGCTACTTAAACCGGGGAAACCAGCCAACAAAGGCCGATAACTCTCCTCTCCCCAGTAGCGAAGACACTTGAGGCCTTACTGCTGCCGACCTTCACTCACCATCTGCGTCCAGCAGCGCATCAGCATGGCTTCCGAAAAGTGCACAGTACCACAACAGCACTTAACGCCATAAACACCCAGATAGTCCATGGCCTCAACCAAAACCGACCCTGCGCGCGAACTGTCCTAGTAGCACTGGACTTGTCAAAAGCTTTTGACACAGTCAATCATTCAGTGCTACTAACGGACATTGAGGAATCCTCGTTCACCAGCTGGACGAAGCAATACAGGCTTGAACTGGATGTAAAGGTCGATGACGAAAAAATTCCGACG